TATTTTCTGCAAAGAAGAAACAAAGTAGGAAGAAGAAAGAAAGTTAATCTCTCTCTCTCTCATTTTTTATATTTTTTTTTTGTACCGCTTTATAGAAGGCAGAAGATAAGCTACGATTTGGGGCACCTCTTCAGGGCATGCGATTCTCACCCATTTTCGTTGAGGGTACACTTTTAACTACGAGAAATTTTGATGAAAATAAAAGCCTATTAGTTGACAAATTTTCAAAGCGTTGGGGGGCCGTGCCTCGACCCCTGCCTTACTAAATCCACCCATGTGTGGATTGGGGTTTGGGAGAAGGTGGCGCTCGGCAATGCCATTACCATTCCTTAAAACCTAAAAAATGATTGATAGATCGAAGGATTCCTCAAAATTAAAATATCTACGTTTATTAATCATATGGTTTAAAAAACAAAAAAAAAACTTGTTTTAAAGCTCGAACTCTATTAGAAATATCATGAGATATAAGTTTTTGTGTTAGTATCATCATCCATATTCAAAACCAAATTTTTTTTTTTTAATGTTAACGTACAGTATGTTATTTTTCTATATTCTAGAATGTAGAGTATCAAAGATAGTAAGAATAAATAATATAAAATAAAACAGTTAATCAAAAAATAACTTGGGTGCAAACTAATAAATAAATAATTTCCTCTTTATTTACTGGAAAACATAAAATCTCACAAAAAATTAAGAAATATTTTAACATATGTTTTCTTTAAAAAAAAAAAAAAAAAAAAAGCTCCATTAGCCGCCTCAAACTATTACTCCCCCTAATAAATAAAGAATTTTTTGTCACACGTCATTCTCTAATGAGTTTTGACACTTGTTATTTTGTGATAATTTTTAAATAAATAATATCTACACGTCAATTTATATTTTTTTCTAATTTTTAAATTTGAAAACTCATATAATACTTATAATTATATATGTAAAGTATTAAATGTAATAAATATTATACTAAATTGTAATTAATATGTTTCTTTATTCCTTATTTTAAAATTTTAGTTTAAAAAATACTTATTATTTACATTTTAATATTTTATTTTTTTTAATCAACATGTGTAATACACGGATTTTACACCTAACTTAAAATAAAATAATCACAAACCCACTAGAAATTTAAGAGTAAATTACTGAAATCGTCCCTGTGGTTTGGTCAAAATTGCACGTTTGGTCCCTAACTTTTTTTTTGCACTCGGATCGTCCCTGTGGTTAGATTTTGTTGCGTTTTTCGTCCCTATGGTTTGGTAAAAATTGCATGTTTGGTCCTTAACTTTATATATGTAAGGGACGAAAAATGCAACAAAATCAAACCACAGGGACGAAAAACGCAACAAAATCAAACTACAGGGACGATCCGAGTGCAAAAAAAAGTTAGGAACCAAACGTGTAATTTTGACCAAACCACAGGGACGATTTCAGTAATTTACTCGAAATTTAATTTACTCCATAAAAAATTAGATTAACAAATATATATTTTAAGGTCTTTTCAAATAATACATATGAATTCAAAATAATTTTAAAACAAAATAAAACAAAAGTTAAAGTAAAATAAAATAGAGAACTACTCGCCTTTGTTTATGCACTTCATTCATCCAATATGATAAAACCGCACAAATGATACTATGGTTAGCTGAAAATTGCAGGCTTAATATATATATATATATATATATATATATATATATATATATATATATATATATATATATTAAACAGTTCATAGATTCGAAAACATCTTCTGCCATCATATGGTATTAGTTTAAATTTTTTTTTGGACAATTTTTAACTTAAGACCATTTGTGCACTATTGTCAATTATTTATCTTTATTCTCTAGGTGTAGTCACTGTTAAAAAAGAATCCTATGTACACTTGTAGAACTATTCCCTATCCAAACACTTTAAGAGCATCTACAACCCACACCTTCTCCATTATTTCTCTCATTTCTTCCTCCATTCATCTCCAACGCTCCCCATTTATTCTCCCATTTTGGAGGAAATGAATAATATAACATCAAATATCGTGTTATACTATTCATTTCCCCTAAAATCGGGATGAACTTTGAGTTGTCGGTTTTAGTCTCTCGTTTTATATATTTATACATTTTTGGGTTTTTTATCTACTAATTATTATTTAAATGTAATATTTAATACTTATAATATTGTGTTATATATTAAATTATATTAACTAATTGTAAATATAATTTTTTTGTTTATCAAATTCGTATTATAATTTAAATAAATATTGAAATTTTAAAACACAATAACGTATTTTACAAAAGCTTATAATTACGTATTATAAATATAATCTTATTTATTTAATATTATTGTAATGAAAAAAATATAGATTATATATTTGTTAAAACCAAATTAATAGAAGGGTTGTATTTTTACAATTTATATAAGTTAGAAAAATGGAATATACTTTTTGGGGGTAAAAATAGGGTAAAAAATTGAGTAGGGTTGGAGATGAAACACTATTACCCTATTGTTTACTCCATTTTTGGGGGGAAAATGGAAGTGGGTTGGAGATGGTCTAAGTATATTGATCATCTCCGCCTCTTAAATCTCGAATTACAAAAAATTATTCAAAGTAAAATTTAACGTTTCGAGATATCAAATAGTAAGTCATATATCTCCTCTCAAATAAAAACATACATCTCACTGCCAAGATATCAAATAGACGCGTATTTGTTTACTTTTTATTAATTTTTTTTTTCAAAATTAGATGCATTGATAATCTCATTAGACTATAAGCATAAAATATAGTTCAAAATATATCGATGGAAATCAAACAGGCAACAAGCTGTGCCGTTAGCTCTTTCAGGATGGCAAAACTAATCCTAATATACTAATTGTCATATAACAAATTTACAATGTCAAATATTCTTGTATTTATGTATATGTATGTATATGTATTTAAGAATGCCTAATATACTAATGCACATAATGGTTTTCCTGTTTGGTGACGTCTTTATCCAAAACCGAATAAGACCGAGTTCATCTTAACAATTTATGTTCTCTGCATTACGCTAAGTTTTTTTATAAGTTTTCATATGTAGTTATTTTCTTGATAAATGTATGAACAAATTTGAGATTCATCTGAAAAGTAAAAAGTAACTATTCTATTTGTAATATAGTATTATATTATTATTTTATATTTTATATAAATATATAATTTGATAGAAGTAACCTAAAACAAATTCAAATAAATATATAGTTTGTTTTATGAGATGTTTAATGTTAGTTTTTATCATATAAAGTCATATCGACAACCAGATTGCACATTATTTGGACGAGATAAAATAAAATTGATTTTTTTTCACGGGTAACTCTTACACATATTTTATATTTAATCTGATCGAGATCTTATATTTTTAAAGCAAAATAATCTACAACTTTTTATTTTCGACCAAAACAAAACCAACTTTTTTTTATTCAAAACAACAATGTAAATGATATTAGCCGATGTGTTATGTTTCTTAATATGAAATGTTTCGACACTAAACTAATATCGAAAATTATTCATAAAAGTGAAACTATTTGACGTAGGTCGAAATATCAATTGTGGTGGGAACCTAATCATAGAAATGGAAATGAACCTAATCATTGAAATTATTTTATCATTATAAGAAAAGTAGCATACTTTATTTTGAACCCAAAAAAACAACATAATTTTATTTTTAACACAAAATGGTCGGACGAAAGCAAATTCATCGTCTGTTTTCCATAATAGATCATTTTTTTCGATATTGTTTTATTTTTTTTTGTTTTTTTTTTCATTTTCACTTTTTGCACACACCCTACCAAATAATCACAAAATAAAAACAAGAGCAATAGAAGACACAATAGATGACACCAGACAACAAACTATTTCGCTCACATATCTACGTACCTAGCTGGTAATTATTCGCCAAAAGAAACCATCCGACACAAAACAATCACAAAAAATGCTGAAACAAACTATCTGACACGAAAAGAAACTAATCGCCACATGAAAACTATATGCTGAAAAGAACTATATGACGCTGCTGCATCTCGTGGTTACACTATTAGTATGTATGTGTGTGTGTCTATATATATATATATATATATATATATATATATATATATATATATATATATATATATATATATATATACTAGCCGTTTACCCGCGCCAAGCGACGGGTGCGGATAATTTTTTCAGAAACTAATTTCTAGAGTTGATTAATTCTATGGACGACGATTAGTTTTCATTTGGAAAATAGTTAGTTCGGTAATGATCTAATCTTGAAATGTTGAAATCTAAGAGTATGCCCTTGATTGTTCAAAATAATGGTGTTGTTGATTTTAGTTAAAATAAAAATTCGTTGTGATTTTGGGTTAAGACAAAATATGTCGTGATTTTATCTTAATAATAAAAATACATTTTTGTTTGTTTTAAAAATATAATAATGTTGCTTTTTACGGTTACATAAAAAAACATTTTTGTTGGTCACCATTTAAACATAAATAACGTATATTGATTCTCCTTTGATGTATAATTCTGGTGGATCGCTATTAAAAATCATTTATTCTTGTGTCATAACAAATATATGTTAAAAATATCTTTAATTGGTTTCAACTAAAACCATTTAATTTTAAGATTATTTTCTTCTCGTGACCATGCTTTCCCTGAAGCATTTAATTTTAATTTTGATTGTCTTCTAAAGAATTTAATCTCAATTTTGATTGTCTTCTACAATTAAGTTTCTATCATGTGTTGATCCACTAATATTTATATTTTTTTCAAATATTTTAAAAATGAACATCAGTTTTACTTTTTTTTATGGTCAAATTGTTTTGGCTTATAAAAGAATTTAGTTAATTGAAAAGCAATTTCGTGATTCAAACATTATGGATTAGTGATAAACAATATAAATTTAATGAAACTACATTCACTGTCATAGTAATCAAATCCCATTAGAGGATACTAAATCAGTGACTGCAACATCACAAGATACTCAAAAACATCAATTTATTTTTTTAAGATATTGATATTACATGAGAAGTTTGGTTAAGCATTTAGCCCCAAAACTATTGAATCAACATAATCTATATCGTATACACTATATATTTACAACCTGAAACAACCAACTTTGGGAAAAAGTTGCTACAACATAGGCTTCTTTTCCAAGACTTCTCACCTTCGTATTATCTTCGACCACCTTTTATAACATTGGCATCATCTGTCAGATAAAAAATAAGTAATATCACACAAATAATAAGAATTCCTATTATTTATAAAATTATTGGAATGTTCCTTTTGTCATTTGGTCAAAAAAGAATGTGTCAATGATCTAAGAGTAGTGAAATATCACCAATGCAAAAGAGAAGCAGCCTGCTACGTCCAGAGTAGCATCTTCATATGTACTTTGGCCCCAAATTCCAATCGTGTACAACCATAAGAAAACGTTCGGCAAAACCCAACACAATAATCTATCTCTTAAGAACCTAAAATAAAATGAGAATATTGTCCAGCTGTTCTGAAGAAAAAAGAATAGTTATCAAAACACTAATGCATAAATTAGAAGAATGACAACTAAATAAGATTGAAAATAAATGAATAACTCAAAATGAACGCCAAAGAGAAAAAAGAAGAGAGTTGTTGTATACCGGAAATGAAAAATCAAAGCTTCCAACTTGCTTTCGCATGCCTGATAATAGAACTTCATTTCCACCTCAAACTTTTCTTCACATCCAACAATCAGCCAAAATGTTAACATAAATTCGTTAAAGGGAATTAATCTTTTAGTAGAACATGTAAAACTAAAGTGGTGTAATTGTGAATAAACAAATACACACATGTAGAGTTAAAGGTCATTGATGATTGGATTTTCCAACTCATTGTTGGAGAAAAACAATAAATGTTTATAATTTTTTTACCTCTTTGAAACATAATGAACAGTATCTATAATTGTGTTCCTCTGTACATGAGATTCATCAATACAAATGAGTAATTAGTTGTATTAAGTGCCAACATTTTCCACACCTAATGTGCATAGTTTACCAAAAAGACCAATAATCAAAGAAAAACAATAAAACTTGCCTTAATGGGTCTGAGGTAATGAGCATAGAAATTCCTTCAAATGGACAGTTTGCCATTTTTCTTGTTCTTCTACCAGTAAACTATTTTGAAGCCTAAAATGCATCAACAACAATTCAATCCAAACCTAGAAAAAATGATAGAAACAGAAATAAAAAGTTTATAAGTATGATACAATTGTATAAAGGTAAACCTGAAAGAGTGACCAATATATGGTCTGGTCTGTAGTTGATTGTACATATCAATTAACTATGGAAAAGAAAGCATCTACTGGTCTTCACTTGCAAATTAAACAAAATCCTTGCCTAATACGTCTTCAAAAACATTCAAAATATCAATTTTGAGTTTATTAAAATGGATCCAAAACCAACAATGAAGATAAACCAAAAATTTTACTTAAAAAAATTATTTTATACCTAATCAAGAATAAGGATCACAAAAATCACCAAAAAAACAAAAACAATAGATGACAAAAAAAACCCAAATGCATAGAAATACATACAAATGCATATAAATACACACAAAAGCACATAAATACGTAAACACATACACCCAAATGCACAAAAAATACCCAACAATACATATATACACATCTAGATGTAGTATTTTTAGACTAAAAAAAGTACAGACAAACCTAAATCGTTTATGTGTTTGTAGCTCTGGACCTAGGGTTCTTAGAGAAAGCATCACAGGCAATGTTTATGGTTTTATGTGGTTATGGTGTGGTTTTTATACAAACAAATAAGAGGATCACTGTAACACAAATTCAACTTATAACCCAATGAAAATCCATGAAGCCAATCAGTGTAAAATAAAGAAAATGTTGGAAGACGGGTGATTTCATACCTTTAATAGAGTCTAGATGTAGAATGAAACCTGTAAAATCGAAAATTGAAAAGGATAACTACAAAAGACAAAACCAAACCAGAAAATCAAGAGCATACTTGTGTAATCAGTCATCTTACCGTATATGTGTAGACCAACTGTCGATTCTCTACCACCAAATCGTGATTTTGGTGGTCGATGGCAGAGTGGTGATGGATTGCGATGGTCTCCTGTAAATGAGTTTGAAGATTGTGGTGGCTAGGGTTTTTCATTGCACTGATGCTCGAGGAAGGTGCCCAGGTGGCTGAAGATGGAGTGGGGTATGGGTGATGGCTTGCGATGGTATTCGATTAAGGGGAAGAAAAGGAGGAGGACGTTGATGGCAGATTGTCTAGGGTTTTTTTAGATGTGGCGTTTGTGCGATTGCGTGTTGGTGTCGGGTTTTTAGAGAGAGAGATGACTGATGCGATGGTGGTCTTAGGGAAGTGAGAGTAAAGTTGAAGAGAGAAAAGTGATCTGAAATTGTGTGGCCTCAGATATCTTGTACATATGAAGAGGATATATGACCGAACTTCCTGCAGTTGCTCATGGGGGAAATGCCAGTTGCTCATGGAGGAGATGGTTTTGCAGGTTTCAACATGCGATGGAGATCGAGTGGTGAATAAAATCTTTTGTGATCGAACTGAGATAGTGGATGCAAAATATAAATCACATTTAGTGTTTGACCTGTTCAATGGACTTTAAGATAAGGGATGACCGATTCACTTGGCACAGTTTGTTCTTGTTCGTTTAATGTTTATTTGATTTTTTCTATGGTCGACTAGATAAGATCTGATTTTTCTAGAATGCATAAAGTTGTTGTATATAATGTTTTAGGAGTTGTATATAATGTTTTAGGAGTTGTACCTCTTAAAATTCAGTCTTTGACCAAATTTACGTAATAAGGAATAAAGATATATATATATATATATATATATATATATATATATATATATATATATATATATATATATATTGAAAGGTCCAATATGCTCAAAAGTCATATTAAAGTGATATTGTTAAATAACATATGATATTAATGGGTCACACTAATAACAACTTTATACAATTAATTATTTATTAAAAATTGATTTTAATAAATATTCAATAAAACTCTTTTAATTAAATTGGAAACTATTTATTTCATGCAAAAAATTTAATTCCACTAGCAAGTAACTTAATATATATCATATGGTATGATTTATAGGTCATGTATAAACTTCTGGATTAGTTGAATCATTTTTGTCTTTTTCCTAAAAGACAATGTTTATATTTTATGAAAAAGTTTATAAAAGTTTGACTTTATTTCTTCTTCTTTATGTAATTTTCGAGATATGCATAAAAAGAAGAAGTGTATGATTTGTTTAATCATGTTTTAAAGGCATGAGAGACATGTTTATAACAAGGAGACAAGTTTGTCTAAAGTTGAAAGAACCAATGGTTAATAACTTCATTTTTAGGCACTATAAATATGAGGCTTCCACTCTTGAAGTTTTAGCCTCATTCTTTCTTCCAATGGCTAAGAGCTCCATGGGAGACTCTCCATCTCATATTTGCTTTGAGTTATTGAAGATTACTTGCATATCTTTTGCTCTCTTGAAGTTCATATTGGTTATGAACTTCAAGCTTAAGAGTTTAAGAGTTTTGGACTAGCATCTACATCAGGTTGAGTCATTGTTGGTGTCTCAAAGGTTCCACATTCTTCATCAACTTCCAAGCCTCCCAAGAGGACCAAAGAACTACAAAGGTTGTTATTTCTTCATCCTTCCTTTCGTTGGTGTTTAATCTTTCTATAACTTGCAAGAATATCATTGGTGGGTATAAAATATTTATGTTATTTCAAAATTAAATTCTTTCATTTCCATAATTTTTCTAGTTTATGAAACTATTTTTGAACTAAAACCCAATATATATATATATATATATATATATATATATATATATATATATATAAAATTCATTTTTATATACATATATGAATTAAATCTACTTCGTAAATCAATGTTTTGTTACCTTCATGAAAACTAACTAATTTAAAATTAAAATAAAATAAAAGTACAAAGCAACTAATATTTCTAAGAAAACTAATGTAAATCCACTAGCGTAACACTAAAACCAAAATGACTAAAGAAGCAAACATAACAGACAAGAGAAAAGCAAGGATTAGTTGACATTTACTAGTTCAATGATTCATCTAATGCAATTAATCAATTAACACAAATATAATTGTAATAAATTTGATAACACCATTTAAAATCATCAATTATCTCTCTGTCTTATGATTCAATTTAAATTCACTCACTTATATCTCTGTGTATTTTATGAAATTAAAAAGCATTAAGTTCAATGGTTTTGTTAAAAATACACAAACACGTCTATGTTGATTTTAAGTGGAATCACGAAATCACATACTTATATTCAAATGATTTTCTAACTAAAGCTCTTCTCAAAATCAGTAGTTACGAATAAGTACGACTTGAAATTTGAATTAACCTCAAACGACTGTTATTGGCCAGATAATAAACATTCGATTAATTAAATCTAATTGCATAACACAATTTGAAAATAAATACACATTTTAACATCAAATTATTAACATACATCATGTTAATTAATTTAAAATCATTAAGATTATCATTTTACCTAGCTAACTAAACCCCAATTAAAACATACTCCATTAAACTAGAATCCAAAGATTAAATTTAAGCATCATTCTTACTTCAAAGTCTAAACAACGCACACTTGATATCAAGATAAAAAGCATAAAATAAAAGAAAACTCCCCTGAAATTTCCATGTCGTTTGTATGGCAGCCCGCAAGGAAATGGCAGCCAAACCAACAAAAGCCCAAAATAAGAAAATGATCACTCTGTATACGTGTCTATCCCCACAGCCAGTCTCGAACTTCCCGTATAGTTCTTCCTTGCGTTCGTTCTTTTTGTCATCAACATCGATAGACACCCATCAAGAAAATCATAGCCCCTCTCGATTACACGATTACAGGCTACCATTTTCTTTTGCATCTGTGTGTAATTAGGTAACAGGGAAAATCGAGCAGGTGTCTCGATCACAGGTGTGTGTGTTGGTATCCTAGCAAGAAAATCGAACAGGTCTTCCTTTTTTCCTTGTGTTTTCTTCCTCTCGCTTTGATCGACAGGTACTAAAGGACTCCCCTTCTTCTTATTCTTCTTAAAATTAGACGCATGTATTTCTTTTTTTGACGGGTCGCATGTATAGGTGGTGATGTTTATGTGGGTGGTGTATGAAGAAAACGATGGTTGTAATGGACGGTCTCAACGTATAAAGTTATAGGTAATTTCTCTTCTTTTAAATTAGTAGCTTTTTATTATCCACATATAAAGTTATACATGATTTCTCTTCTTTAAAATAAAAACAGTATCCACATATAAAGTTATAGATGATTTCTCTCCTTTAAAATAAAAACGGTCTCAACGTAAAACGAATAAAATACTACTTATACTCTTATAAAATTTATTTAGTTCTATTTTCTCTAAAATTGATCATAATACAAAATATATTTATGTTCTAATTTGTTTTTTTAATACTAGTAGAATAATGATGAGAATTGGTGTTTATAAACGGCTATTTTATCAATTTTAGAGACTTGATTACGTTATTCAAAAACAAAAAAATATTTTAATATTTCGTTACGACGTAATGGAATGAAAGGGTGGTGAAGGTGGAGGTTGTAATGGAGGGATGATATGGTGAAGATGGTAAAAGGTTGAAGGTGTTGTGGGGTTAACGATTATGTTCTTTTTCCTCTCTTCCTATACAATCTTTATAACTGGAATTGGTCACCAAAAAGGTACACTATTACTCCTTTTTTCCTTGAAGAACAGAAGTCAAACACAGGGCCGGTCCTGAGGATTCTAATGCCCAGGACGAACTGGAAAAAAAGGCCCTTATGCATGGCCCACAAACAGTAATTTGAATAAAGAAATAAAAATACGTTGCTATTTTGAGTAATAAAATGAAATTACATTGCTATGAATAACATATAAATCAAAAGTATAACGTTGCAATTCAAAGAAATGAAAAGTATGTTGCCATAATACCAAAAAGACAACAGTATGTTGTTATTTCTTATATTCAGTTTATCTTTATACTTACTCTTTCATTCCAAGTCCGTCCTGATTAAGCTTGAGTTCTATCTCCTTGGTTTACGTAGACCGGATTCAGGTGCATACCAAACACCATAATATAATCATATTGAATTTCAATTCCAGGTCAGGCCTAAGCAACTTTCCAATCAAGTATTGTCTGATGTAAAGATGCCCATCCAAGCAAATTCTGAACAAAAGGCAAAAAGAGGTTAAAAGTCATCAAGATGGAATCTTAAAGCATAAATAGAAGCCATTTGTAATCAAAATGAGTTTCGAGCATCGATCTTAATATACTAATGTATGATTTTGACATTAATGGATCTTGAAAATTGTATAAATATTAAAATCAAGTTTACAATAACAACTAGGGATGATAAAAATTCTGTAAACTAGTTTTCCTTTTCTGAACAGATAACAGTTTCCAAACAAAGTTATCCTTTCCAGATTACAATTATAGTATGACACATTTAAAAATCATATATAAAATTCCAAAACAAAAGCACAGCCAAACGATATCTTACTTGCCTAAGCACATGTCACTATGAACATATACACAAAAATGATAAGATTTCAAATAATAGATGTCTTTAGTTTTATAATTGAATTTTTTTCTAGATGATTGTATGTTCCTGATTTCCCAATAATACCAAGAAAAAAAATTATAAATACAACAATGTAGCAGTAAAAAAGGATGTTTTTATGGTTATTGATTATTCACTCAGTTGTCCAACCAACCACATCATATACACACATTTTGCACCACAACAATTTCTTTTTGACATCATATCAAACACTTGGAAGGTCTCTTTAAGATCGCCAAACTAAGGAATCAAACCAACAAAAAATCTCTTCCTCTTGTGTGGTCTTCAATTTCAATTCTTTCTAAAGGAACCAATACAATCCTTTACTTATGTTCGATGCTTAGCTATTTACCTGATTAGCAATAACAGTACTTAAAATAGCAGTACTTCAGGAGCCAGGAGTGATTTTCTGTAATCAATTAATCCCTTTCCAGCCCTCGCTTGAACTTGAATGATCGTTAATATTCGCTTCTATGATCTTCCTTCTGCCTTGCGTTTGTGTGTCAACTCATACGACTAATCGAATCGAGGGACTCTGGACGACTGGACTTCTTTCATTCCTTTGCATTTGGCCAGATTACTAATTGCTGAATATAGTATTAAAAAAAAATTGGGCCCCCTAAAAGAGTAGGCCCTGTGCACATGTCCCACTTGCCCCTGCTTAAAACCGGGCCTGGTCAAACAACTATTTTGATGTTTTTGATGTTTGGTCTTTTTAAGCAGGTATCAATAGAGAAAGCAGGAGACAAACTTTTTTCATTTATTTATTTATTTTTTTAATTTTTTTACAGCTTCATGCCAAATTTATGCAATCTAAATTTCAAGTTTCTGTAAAAGAATAGATTGTATCCTTATGTATGTAATCTTGATTATGATGCCAAACCTGAATGTTTTTCGGAAAATTAATCAGTCTAACAATTTTTTAACTGTTTTTAACAAAATAACTAAATTCTTGTTTTAGCAAAAAA